AATCTTTCATTTATTGGTAAATTACCTAGTTGATAGTTATAAATATAAAATCCCCCTTACGTGTTCCTTCTAGGAAGGGGTGGGGGGGAGAGAGAATCATATACCTGTGTCTCTGAACTAGATAAGATACCCTAATAATGCTAATATAGTGCTAGTCATTTTAGCCACTGACTTCTGGGCCTCTTACCTCTTTGGTGGCTTCATCGTAAGTAGAATCCAGTCCTTCACTCATTCATTCATCACACAAACATTTATCAAGTATCCATGCTAGTGTTGTCTTATATTTTGATATTTATTGAATCACTCAGGTAGATGTTAAAATGCCACCTCCATCCTATTGAAGTAGAATCTTTAAGGGCTAGGTTCCAGAAGTATGATTTTTCCAAAAGCCCATTTTAGATGTGTTCTGAGAATATAGAGATGAAAAGGAAAGTTCTTTCCTCTTGCTAGACGGATGTACCTATGAATAGGTAAGCCAGACCAATAAAAGTTCATCTAAGCTGCGGTGAAATATGAGAGGGAGAGGCTACTTCTACCCAGCAATCCAGGGGCTGCTCATCATTATATATGTATGTAATGCTTGCTTTCCATTGGACGGGTTGTTGGGGAATGTTCAGTCTTATATAACATGTGCTTGGTGCTGCATCAGATGTGGAGGGAAGGAATACATCTGGCCCTGAACTGTCCTGCTATGACTGGTCTGGCAAGACAGGGGGCGAGGGAGGATTTGTCAGCTCATGAGTGCTTTTATTTCGGACGAAGCTCTTGCAGGTTCCCCTTTGTCAGTGTGCTGGAGGGCAGAGGTTCACAGGAAGGCAGTTAGACAGCTCACAGTACTTACAATCAGGACACATGGAATCTGGCTGTGACCTTACCACTTATTAGCTGGGCAGTTTACGTCGCCTTTTGCCTTGTTTTCCCTAGCTATAAAGGGAGCTAATAAAATCTACATTATAGGATTGTTTAGAGAATGATATAAAATAGTATATGGTACACAAACTGTTCATCATTGTGCCTGGTATGTTGTCGCTGCTAGTAAGTAGTATTTTTACTGTTAATAGAAATAAAATAGACCCCTATTTGTGTACACAGAAGTGAATCTTCCTCAGGCCATCAAAGTCAACCTCCATATTTACAGTGGCTCTTCACTCTTTGCTCTGCCCCAGCTCCCTGGAGGGGAGCATCCTAGCCGGCCCACTGGCCCAGGGCAGTGATTCTCATCTGAGGCCACTCTTTCTAGCTCAGGTTGGTTTCATCAAACTCCCCAGGTAATTTGGACGGTCTTTTCTGCCTGCACTAGGACATCTACTTTTCTTTCCTGCCTGCCGCTGAGATTTATTGCTTTGAGTGGTGAGTCTTCTTCAGAGTGTGCACTCAGCATCTCCCAAAGAGCTCTGTTAAAATACACACACTGCATTCCACCTTGGACTTGATGAATCATAATTTCCCTGGCAAGGCATTGGTAAGTGTATTTTATCTTCTCAGGCAATGCTAATATATAGGCGTGGTGGAGAATGATTGTCTTCACGGACGGCTCTCTGCTCAGCACTGTCTCACAGCATGAAATCTGCTAGGAAAAATTAATGGTGCCTAAGTAGCTTTGCAAAGCTCAGATACCCTGTGTGGCAAGCTAAGGAGGAAGAACTAAGGAGAAGGAACGTAGGACAGGAGGAAGTCTGTGTATACAGGGCTCAGTAAATAACCTTGCAAGCCATGCACACTTCATGGTACTTAACAAAAGGCTTCAGTTTGTTATTATCATTAATTGTTGTGTGTTGGCCTCAGGGTCTCTCAATCCTTGTAAGACTTGTTTCCATTTTAGGAGAAAAGCCTCCACGTTCGGGAATTAAGAAACCAGCTGGCTGTTTGGGAAGCATTTAGAAAATGTGACAAGAGGTGTCAAACACAGACTAGCAGCAAAAATTTCAAGAAAGGAAAGCATGGTAGACTTTGTTTTTTTGTCACTGTTTGCTTCTGAAATTAGATAGGAAGAAGAGCAGTGTGTCAGAAGGTGGGGTGGACCTGGGAAGTGACAGTCTCCTTAGACTCAGTCCCCCAGTTCTGGGAGTACTGTGACAAACCCCAGATTGCCATGGGCTTTGATTTTTCTTTCTCTTAGCATTTACACTTGAGGTTTGGGCTCCTTTTGCTGTGCAAAAATGAAAGTGGCCACCTTTCCAACTGAGCTTTCTGGCAACATCCCTGCGCCCTGCTAGAAGACTCAGTGCACAGACCTGTGTAGAGGGTGGGACATATACCTACTCACATGGAGGAAATTCTGTCTTCTCAGGTTTCTGTAGATTCTTCAGAAAGGGGGATTAGAAAGGCCCCTCAGAACTAGGACTGGAAGGGGAGGTCATCCCCATGGGGAAAAATGGGGGAAAAGACTGGGAGATAAAACTACTAAAGTCAAATGAGGAATCTGTGGAATACTTTGGAAGAATAGACTTAGACTTTGAAACTGCCTACAGAGCTGCTGCAGCATCAACAGTTCTATTACTGCAGGGGCTGTAGACATCAGCTGGAATTGAAGGTGGGGCTTGAGACCCTTAATTTAATCCCCAGCCCCAGCCAGACTTCAGACTGCACCTGGCTGCACAGAAAGGCAGTCTGATCAGTCCTTGGAATTCAGCTTAGGTGACAGATATAAGGTATTTTGGTTTACTGGTTCCTTAAATAAGACAATTTTTCTTCAGGTCTACTCTCTCTCCTCTGACATTTCCCATCCTCCAGGGCTTTACCCTTAAGCTGCTTGCTGCTCATTTGAAATGTGGAGATAGCACAGTGCAAGCTGGTACTCCAGTGACTGCTAGCATCGATCACAGGGCACGTAGCACACATGGAAGACGTGACATTCGCCCCCACCCTCATGCTGTTCTTATTAGAGAGAACATGGAAAATATTATCTTTCTTGGCTAGCACCCTCCCCTTACTGAAAGATGGTGTGTGTGCATCTGAATGGGGGTAGGGTGCAGACTGAGTTTAACTTTTAGGCCTCTATTAAGACATGACGGTTCCCAGCGGGCCAGAGCTGGGCAACAGAGAGGCAGGATCCAGGCCTCTCTCTCATCTCATCTGCAGGAAGAATGGACTGAGCAAGTCTAGGGAGGGAGGGCTGTCTTTGGCTGCACTGCCTGCCGAGCTTCCTGATATGACTTTATTAGACAAATCCTCACTCCTTCCAAGGGTAATATACAAGAGCATCTGCTGTTGGAAAATTTCTGCAACACCGAAGTGCAATCTAAAATCTAGTTCTCCTTTCCAAGCTTGTCCTGAGACGGGAAAGCAAACGGAAGGGTGCCGGGTCGCTTCTCGGCGGTGACAACCAGCGGCCAGCAGGTGTCAGTGCGCCCTCGCTCTGCCGAGGCGCGTGGCCTCTGCCTCTAGGACCCTTCCCCACCGTGTTTTAAGGGGCGCAGTCCGGACCCTGGGACGCGTGCGTCTTGCGGACAGTTCTGCGGCTGGAAGGGCATATCGCCGCTTCTTCCGTAAACACAGTTCTGAACTCTGGCCTGTCCAGTTCCCTGTGGGTGCTGCCCATTCTGCCCCAGGGGTTTGATGTGAACCCACGCCTTCCTCCCTCTCCAGGACCCCTCTTGCCCCGGCTGAGAGGAGCACCTGCGGACGAAGGAGGCCCCAGGGCTGGGCCGCTCCGGATGCTCCCCATACAGGAGGCTGCTTCTCCAGATTCGGGTTCCCCGCCACCCTTTCCTCCCAGGACCCAGTTCGATAAAAGCACTCCCAGGGGCCGGCTGTTTTCTGCTGGGCGGGTCTGGAGCTGTGTGGCCAGCTCCCATCAGGGGCAGCTCCCCGCTCCCCCCGCTCTGTCTTTAAGCTCCTGGCTCAAAGTACCTGCCTCTCCAAAGGGCTGGTCCAGCTAGGAAGACAAATCTCCCCAGGGTCCGACTCTGGGCGCCAGCGCTAGACTGGCAGAGGGGTGGCGCGAGGGGCGGGGGAGGGTCGGCTTCCCACGTGGGGGCTGACGCCGGCTGCTCAGCAACGCCGGCTTGATCCTGGGGCTATAAAACGAGTCCACCGTGAGCGCAGCGGAGCAGCAGCGGCTCTGGCTTTGTGCAGACGCCCAGCAGCCGGCGCGCCGCCGCCCGCCACTCCAGCGCCTTCCTACCCCAAGCTCTGCGCTCCTGCCCCAACTCACGCTGTCCTCGGACCCCGGCCTGTCCTGCCACACTCGCCGCCCACTGGGCCAACGCCCAGGAGAACCCCTGCTTCGGCTGCGGCTCCTGGAGGGCCGATCGCTCACCTGCCCCGGCCCGCCTGAGGACGGGGGCGCCTTCATGAGGCCCCCACACCCCTCAATCCGCCGCCGCCGCCGCCCCCGAGCTCCGCGCGCTGTGCCCCAGCCCCAGCAGGGCGCGCAACTTTGGAAGTCCCGCGGCGCTCCGAGAGGCGGCGGAGTCCGCGCCCTGGCCCCGGGCCCCTGGGCCCGCGCCGCACCGCAGCGTCTGGGGGAAAGGAGAGAGTCAGTAATCGCTTCAGGGATATAAGGAGACATATAGGACCCCGAGTCCGCACCAGCACCCCTCGGCTGCCTCCTGGGGTGGGGGCGGGCCCCGCACACGGTAAGACTTCTTGTTTTCGCTCAGGCTCAAGAGTCATAAATATAATATATATATATTTAATTTACTGTCACCTTTCCAAGTTATCAGGCCACCGATAATTTTTTGTTCTCCCTTCTTGAAGAATAAATCTCTCTTTATTCATCGGCTCGCCCCACTCTCTCCCGCCGCTTAGAAATAAAACTTGGCTGTGCTTAGGAGCTTGGAGCGGGAAGGCGCCCACCAGGAGCGTCCGAAGCGGAGGCCGGGCGCCGTTCGCCGGACCCGGGCTCATGGACCGCTAGCGGTCCCGCAGCTTGGGCCCAGCCTCTTTGCGGCCCCCTCCCTATGTGAGCCGCGGCGGGGCGAGCGGGGCGCCGGAGGAAGAGGAGGACCCACGGGCGCCGGGCCGGAAGGCAGCTGGCAGCAGGCCCGGGCGAGCGGGCGACCGCGTTCATGTTCCGCCCGGAGCAGCCGCTGGCCGAGGGCAGCTTCGCGCCCATGGGCTCCCTGCAGCCGGACGCGGGCAACGCGAGCTGGAACGGGACCGAGGTGCCGGGGGGCGGCGCCCGGGCCACCCCTTACTCCCTGCAGGTGACGCTGACGTTGGTATGCTTGGCTGGCCTGCTCATGCTGTTCACTGTGTTCGGCAACGTGCTGGTCATTATCGCCGTGTTCACGAGCCGCGCACTCAAGGCGCCCCAAAACCTCTTCCTGGTGTCTTTGGCTTCGGCCGACATCCTGGTGGCCACGCTGGTCATCCCATTCTCGCTGGCCAACGAGGTCATGGGCTACTGGTACTTTGGCAAGGCGTGGTGCGAGATTTACCTGGCGCTCGACGTGCTCTTCTGCACGTCGTCCATCGTGCACCTGTGTGCCATCAGCCTGGACCGGTACTGGTCCATCACTCAGGCCATCGAGTACAACCTGAAGCGCACGCCGCGCCGCATCAAGGCCATCATCATCACCGTGTGGGTCATCTCGGCCGTCATCTCCTTTCCACCGCTCATCTCCCTCGAGAAGAAGGGCAGCGGCGGCGGCCAGAAGCCGGCAGAGCCGAGCTGCAAGATCAACGACCAGATGTGGTACGTCATCTCGTCGTGCATCGGCTCCTTCTTTGCGCCCTGCCTCATCATGATCCTGGTCTACGTGCGCATCTACCAGATCGCCAAGCGTCGCACCCGGGTGCCGCCCAGCCGCCGGGGTCCGGACGCCGCCGCCGCGCCGCCCAGGGGCGCCGAGCGTAGGCCCAATGGCCTGAGCCCCGGGTGCGTGGCGGGCCCCGAGGGCGCGGAGGCCGAGCCGCTGCCCACCCAGCTCAACGGCGCCCCCGGGGAGCCCGCGCCGGCCGGGGCGCGTGAGGCCGACGCGCTGGACCTGGAGGAGAGTTCGTCGTCTGAGCACGCCGAGCGGCCCCCGGGGCCCCGCAGGTCCGAGCGCAGACCCAAGGGCAAGGCCCGGGCGAGCCAGGTGAAGCCCGGGGACAGCCTGCCTCGGCGTGGGCCGGGGGCTACCGGGGCCGGGGCGCCGGCGGCCGGGCCGGGGGAGGAGCGCGGCGGGGGCACCAAGGCGTCGCGCTGGCGCGGGCGGCAGAACCGCGAAAAGCGCTTCACGTTCGTGCTGGCCGTGGTCATCGGCGTGTTCGTGGTGTGCTGGTTCCCCTTTTTCTTCACCTACACGCTCACGGCGGTCGGCTGCCCGGTGCCGCTCACGCTCTTCAAGTTCTTCTTCTGGTTCGGCTACTGCAACAGCTCGCTGAACCCGGTCATCTACACGATCTTCAACCATGACTTCCGCCGCGCCTTCAAGAGGATCCTCTGCCGGGGTGACAGGAAGCGGATCGTGTGAACACTGCGCCGCGCCCCGCGTGAACTCCCGCCTGCCACGGACAACCCGCTTCCAGGAGGGGCGCGTGTAGCCCTGCACTCAGAAACCCAAATTCTGCCCACTTGGAGTTTCCTGACTTGGGGGTTGCTCTGTGGCTTCTGCGTGCATCTTGCTGTTGGTACACAGGAAAAGTTCTGGCTGGAGCCATTTGTTGTTATGGCCGCTCCTGACCTGGAGCTGGCTTCTTGGTGGCCGTCCCAAATCAGTATTGTTTCCATTTTCTCTCCTGGCCGACCCTCATGCTCTTCAGAGCAAACCCTGGACTACAGAGGGCATGTCTCCCAGAGGGTTAATGGATGGGGTTTACCTAGTCTGGCTAATGCCCCCATACCTTTGTTTGTTAAGAAAACAAACAAACAGAACCCCAGCACAGGGTAGCCCTGCTCACACTCCCCAGCCCCACATTGTAAATATACACTATTTTTGATAGTACATGCGGGGGTCCCCATTGTCGTTTGGCCCTGGTTTTGATGTTGGAATCCTGGCCTTCCGTAGATGTGCACTCCAGAGCAGGCACAGAGTCTGGTTCAGGCCAAGTCCCTTTGCAATGCAAGCGGTTTTCTAGTGTCACGCCCCTCCATGTCCTTTCCACCAGCAGCTGGTGACTTGCTTTGAGATTTCCTGACAGGGAAAAGATTTCTGTCCATTTTTTCCTGTGCCTAACAGCATAATTGCCTTTTCCTATGTAAATATTATAAGGATGGACCAAGACAGAAGGAAATGAACCTTCTCCTTGCCTTGCATCAGCCCTGTGTATAAAGCCATTATCCTCAGATGCACTGGCCACCCCAGTAAATTCACTTCAAAACGGTCTCTTTCTCCCTCCAGGACCACTGCTTGAAGAAGAATATGTATGTTTCTATCTTGTATGTATGTCCCCCCTCCCTCCCTGAAAGCGCTGACTAAGGGGAAATCTTGTAGCTGTTGATTTTAGACACAGAGGAGTGGAAATTATGTGGAAACAGCAAACCTGATACAATTTGCCCAAGGTAAACAGTGTGGACAGACAAATGAGCCTGCCAAACTGTACAGGTCCTGCCCCCAGAGCTCTTAGGTATCAAAAGTGTTCTTTCCCCCTTCCCTGCTTTTCTGGTTGAGATCTGTCATCGATGGACTGCCAGAGTTGGGGGAGGAGGGTGGAGACCTGTGTTTACATCTGTGTTTCTATGTGTTTTAGAGACGATACAAGGCCTGCACTCTTATTTCACTAAGGAAAAACTAATGTCAGTACACATCGCTAATGACAGTGGATTTTTTTTTAAATAAAAAAGTTTACAGATCAAATGTGAAATAAATACGAATTGAATGGTCCTCCTATCTATATCTGAGTTTTCAAAAAACACTAAGACTCTGGGAACATCTAATTTTATGTATTTTTTTAAAAAATAAAAAATACACGTACATTACAAAATACTCCCCTTTAAACGTGCTGTCAATAGCCAAGCTACCATTTGCTAAGTGCTTCTGCTGTGCTGTCACTGTGGGGCGTCTGTTAGAGGTGTTCTCCTTTAATCTTCCCCAGAATCCTATGAGGTAAGTTCCGTTGTTATCTCCATTTTACAGGTGAAGAAACTGAGCCTCAGAGGGCAAGTAGGACTTGCTCAAAGTTGACAAGTGGTGGAAATGCATGTATCCAGCTTTATCTGGTACGAGGGTCTGTGCTCTTGACCCCAGAGACTGCAGAGCTCTGTAAGAGCATTAACACGCCTCCCAAGGCTCCACACAGAGGAGTTCTACACAAAGTGTGTGTGTACCTCAGTGTCTCTTTGCCATAACACACACACAGATGTCTCAAAAGTCACCTCTAAAGTCACGGTACATAGAAAAAATGGGAACTTGTAGCGAAATGACCTTTCTTTACAAAACAGTCATTATGAAATTTTACAAAATATTTTCAAAATATTCTCTACATGTTTGCCACCTCTTTGTAAAATTTTATAATGACTATTTCATAAATAAAGATATCTTTAGCTACAATTTCCCCTTTTCTCTGTGTATGTTAACTGTAGGGGCAATTTTGGGAATGCCCTATGCACTCCTAAAGGGGGGTGAATACACAAAAAGTGCCGAATATTCTCCAAAGTGAGTGTCACACCTTAAAGTGTGATCATATACACATAGTATATACCCCATAGTGTGGTGTAGACATTTAAGTAGAACCATGAATTGGAGGCTCAAATGATCTCCGGCCAAAGCCACACATCCTCCTTCTTGGACTGGTGTAGAATCAAAGTCGGCTCCGGATTCAAATACACTTAAGAGATAATCAAAAAAGTCTGTTTCATTAGGCATAATAAAGTGATGGCACTGTATTTAAAAAAAAGTTTGCCCTGTTGTCTAGGAGGATGTTGAGTCCTGTCTATGGTTAGGGCAGTTGGACGCTGGAAGGACCCCTGGAGATCCAGGAATCCGAGCCTCATCTGATGGAAGTGGAGGCGGGTCCAGGAGGGAGGATCCCGCCACTCTGGGCGGCGGTGCTGTGGATCCACTGCCTCTGCTGGGAAGCCGCTGAGCGGGCATGTGGTCGTTCAGTGTACACAGCCAGACGCAGCACTGATTGTACGCGGAGGAAGGGGTTTGAGGGGCAGGCACAAGTGTTAGGGTGGGGTTTGCGGAAGGCCAGATTACAAAGGCGCAGCACCTGCGGCGTTGCCGGCAGACCAGCTGTGGATGCCACCTGGCATCAGGTCCTCTGCACCCTCCGCAGATCGTGCAGTGTCTCCGTCGCCCTTCACGTCTTGGATGCAGTGAGGGGGTGTGTGTCTGTGAGGGGTGGGAGGGCAGAGAGCCCTGAGGAACTATCTGGGCAATGAAGGGTCTGGGAGAGAGGGAAGACTGTGTTCTGAGGGCGGGAAGGAGTTCTCACTGTTACCTGGGTCCTGCGAGCCTGCAGGCAGGATGGTGGGCAGGCGCTCAGCTCCTGACTTTTGCCCAGAAGCTTCACAGACTAGCCTCCTGGCGCCAAGGCTGGCTCCCTGGTCTGGCACTGTAGCCTGCTCCCCGCCCCCACCCCAGCTTCTCCTCTCCTTCCCCACTCCAGGGCTCCCATCGCCCCAAAGATAAACAGTGCCAGACAATAGGCTAGCCTGGCAGGCCCCCAGGCCTCGGCGTGTCTCAGCCACAGGGGCAGATACAAACATTGCAGGCTGTTGACTCTTCTGTTCTACCCTGTCTGCAGGGAAGTGTTTGCCCTTCTCCACCCCCAGAGGCTGAGAAAGGGAGGGAGGTGTGGACCATGGTGCCACCTAGAGGGATGGAGGCTGGGGGAAGTAGGGGAGAGAGATGGTTGGAGCCCAGTGGTGCTGCCGGGTGTCCGAGTTCAGGTAGGAATCACTGTTGCAAAGGGCTCAAGCAATAGTCTGTAGCATCTATCTCTGTGACCGAATGTCCTATTTATATAACTTTGGTTGGGGTATCAAAAGCCAGTGGCTTTCGGATCTGAAGTGTGTCAGATTTATTCCAGCAAATGCGCTGAGCTGGGGGCAGGGCAGTGCCCTCGCTGGAGCTGGGTATGGGCAGGACTTCTTCCTCTACCAGGCTTCCTTCACTTTCTTCCACGCTGAAAGGCTGGAACAGAGAATGGTGACAATATGGCTGAAGCTTCTCTCTCTCTCTTTCTCTCTGTCTATCATGTGTCTATCTATCTATCTATCTATATATACATCTATAATTGAATCAGTGTTAGAGCCAGGAGGGAGCCTCAACTCCCACCTTGTATTCATGCGCTTACTTGAGACCAGAAGAGCTGGCTGACTGTGCACCATGCCAGGGTCCTTTGAGACCACTGTTCCCTATGACTTCCAGCCTGGTGCCTTATACACCTAACATGAATTCTATTTTGTTGCCGCATGTGGTGAGTTGCTAATACACCTTAGAGAACTCCTCTAAGGAGTCATACTTCTTGCTCTGTCATACTAGGCACTGTGAGACGGTCCTTGTCCTTTCCTGCATGTACTGTGTAAAGCCCAACATTGTCCCTGGGAGTTAGTAGGGATTAGGGCCTATCCCTGCCCTCTGGAATCTTCACAACTGAATGGGGAGATAGGCTATGTCTATGTAAGACACTAAATAGCCACACACAGTGACAGTGTGGTGTGGGGGACTGCTGGGGACCCACGGCGGGGGAAGTGTGTATCGTACTGTGAGTGTGTAGTGGGGGAGAGGTAGGATGTGGGAATTGGGACTCCCAGGCTTTGGCTGAGCACAGTGGGGCAGGCAGTGCCAGGCCTGGGCAGTGGCACTGGGTTTAGGTCAGAATTAGTTTTGATTTCTCCAACTTGATCCTTGGGGGTGGCCTGGCAAAGTCCTGTCCCCGTTCAGGGATATCCAAACTCAAATAGCACAGCAGAATCCAAGTGCCCAGGGCCCTGCTCTTTCCAGAGCCAGTGTCTATGTCAGGCTAGCCCTCAGCTTCTGGGCCCCCCATACCTTACCACTCCCCACAGTGGGCCTGGGAGTCTGGGGTGCGGGAGAGTGCCTTCATCAGCAGAGGCTGTGCCTGAGAGGGAAGCCACATGAGGTCCCTGAGCATATCCACAAGCACTTGGATTGTTCTAGAAATACCACGGATCTCTTTGATTACCAGAAATCTTAGGATTTACAAACAAACAAAGGACCATGGCCTGCTGGAAAGAGCCTAGAGCTGGGCATTAGGAGGCCTGGGTTCTAGTGCCAGTGTTGCTTTTTACCAGCTGTGTGACCTTGAGCAAACCCTTCCTTGTTTGTTCATTTGTAAATGAAAACAGTTGGTGTCATGTTATTAGGAAGTGTGTTCCATGGAGTTAAGTGACAAAGTCTATTCTATTATCTTTCTATCATCTCTACCATCCATCTCTCACCCTTTAATCATCTATTTGCCATCTGCCATCTCTCTAGTGAGATGCTGGGTCAGCCAGCCTTTCCTTCGGGACCTCTCAGAGACTTGATATGCTAGTGAGACTTGTGACTCTCAGAAAGAGGATGACATGGGGTGCCGTGTTTCCCCAACTCCCCACATTGTGGGGTGTCATTTTTTACAGAGCATCTCAGTGAATCCTGTTTGCTAGAACACTTGAGGGTTCTCACAGGGCTTTTCTGTTGATCCATTTTAAGATTCTTTGAAATGCTAGATCTGCTCCCTCCGTCTGTCCCTCCAATGGCAGGGCACACTGGGCCATTCACACTCCTTACAGACAGTGGCTCTAAAGGCCACTGGTCTCACTGAGGCTTGGGGTTGAAGTTAAAACTTGGTGTGTTTTTTAAATAAAAGTGGGCTGAGCCTTAGTGTCTGTGAGTACGTGTGTATGGCTGTATGTGTATATGCAATGTCAACCTGTGTGTGACTGTGTGTGTGAACAGGTACAACCTATTTTAAAGGGACAGTGATGACCACCTTGCTCACCTGGACCTGGAGTAGGAGCATCTGGGTGAGGTGAGGGAGTTAAAGGGGAGTGGGGGGGGGTCAGGCTGATTCTTACTGTGGCTGACCCCTCCCCAGGGTGTGAGCTGGAATGCCACCTGCCCGGGGGTGATAGATCCCAGGGAGGAGCATAGGATGGTGGAATGTGGGCATTTGGAGGGCCCCGTGCCTGTTATCCAGCAGGCATTTTCTTTATCCCCTTTGCTGTCCTGTCCTCCTTGGAAGAGGAGTTTATCCTCCCACAGAGGATTTTAGAGGGTGTGGGAGGCCAGGTTGGAGAGGCTGTTAATGTTCTTTCTAGCTTTTTCAAGGGCAGGGACTTAGGAATTAGGAATTCCCTCTTTGGAATCTGTATCTGAGAAAAACAAGGCAGCACCCTGTGAAGGAGGGTGAAAGGAGGTTGAAGGGGACTGCTGACTGGGTGCAAGTGGGGTTAAGAGGAACCCGCAAAGGGCAGGGATATACCTTGTGACTCACACAGTGGGAGGGAAGCTGTCATCACTTGCAGGGGTGAGGGGAGGGAGCTGCTACCCTAACCTTCAGAACCAGGGCTGTGAGACAGGACTCCTGGCAGGCACGGTTGGTAAAAGACCCCTGCAGCCATTGCCACACTGTCTGGGCAGGGGGAGAGCCAGGAGAACTGGCCCCTCACCACTCTCACCCACATCCTGAGCCCCTGGGGGCACCAGACCACAGAGCACAGAGGGAATGAGAGGAGTGAGAGTAAGGGGGCAGGAGACAAGGGGCAGGATTCAGCCTCCCAGGTCCAGGGGGGCCAAAGGCAGGGTGTAGCCATGGGGGTAGTAGGGCATGTCCTGGAGACTGAAGCCTGAGGCAGGCAGAGTGAGAGCACTTGGGATGCTGGCTGGAGCAAGGCCAGCTGCTTGGTTTCTGCAGTTTGCCCACAGGCCAG